ATTTCCACCCCCACCACAGCTGTTGTGATCTCATGGTCAACAGCTGCATGACTTCCTACAGGTGGTAAATTCACCTATGACCATCAGCAGGCTACCTTACAAATTCTACACGACTGAGCCAGCAAGACGTCTACATCATCAAGCCCTGCACTTTCAATGCTGCTGGCAATTGGCCCTGGCAGCTTATTGTGGAAAGTGCTGCAATAGCTGCTGAGATCTTGTGGCACCCATGGGGCACAGAGAAGATCAGCGTTGTTTGTGAGCTCACGAAGTGGGGTATTCCTTTTAGAACGGTGCTTCCAGTTTTCAAATGAAGTCTGTCCCTGCCCCACATGAAGAAGTCTGGTCTCTACTGTGGCCTTGGTATTCAGCAGCTGGGCTTCAAGACATCCAAGGAAGAGTACACTATGTATGAGGACGCTCGTGATGACTTCCTCTTGTGCAGCCCACATGCTATACAGGCTGCATTGGGTGCAGGTGGAATTGTTTGGCAACTGGCTGTTCAAAGACTCCATTCAACCCTTGTCGCAGGGTTCCAAGGCTGGTCGAGCCACCAAGCAATGGTGTTACTGAACGGGCACTCTTACGTGACTGATGTCCTTACTCAGCACAAAGAGGACTTGATCTGTGGTGTGTACAGGGTTCTTGTGTGTGGGTATTCCTATAACTATTGTTTGTTGCATGCCACTAATTCACCATAGTACATTCTACGGTAAGTGCCACCAATTATTCTTGGTGGCCGAAGCGATCAACCTGGCTTACCTCCAGCTTTAATATGGGCTACTGGACGTCGTTCAATGAGTATTGGTTCCAGAAGTGGCTTCGCGACATTCGATCCAGTGAGGCAACCCCGTGCAGCGCCAAGCAGTGGAAGGACGCACTTAAGTTCCACAAAAGTCTCATGCTGAACATTGTTCAGAGGCTGGAGTCCCTGTCAGCAGATTGTTTGTAATGGTATGGATATACTACACTTGTTCTCTGTCTCACACTATCTCTTTCTCTCCCCCATGTACTATTAGTTGTTCTTGAAGTAAATGATCTCTTGTTCAAGTGGGCATGCATTGTAAGCGGTGATTTCCTGGTAAATGGCCATCAATACTTGGGCAATGAGTGAGCGCACAGCAGATGATGAGAGGGCAATGAATGGGCAATGTGTGGGCGGTTTCCTGGTAAGTGACCGTCAATGCGCAAGGCGATGAGCAGGCATATGGCAGACAACAAGAGGGTGATAACAGGCAATGAGTGGGTGATCAATTTCATGTCTAAAAACATGTTGGCTTTTTTACCTCATATTTTGCAAAGACAAGAACTGCAAAGTAAGCTTACTCTTTTTGTCTCAGCTGGAGGGCTTCTTTTTAGGGAAAATATGCAGGAAGAAATGATGATTATTTTGCCCTGAGAATATTTCAACCCTTTTGATGCCCCAAAAGGTGTAAAAGTAGCATATCTTTTTGTACCGTTAAAATGACAACTTCTCCATGGGAAAATAGCTTAAGCATTTTGTACCTCTTTCTGCGCAAAATAATATAAAGTTAGCCCCGTGCGTTCAGTAATGTCAGGTGTCCTGGTCCGACGCCTGCAGGAGGGTCTTTCCTTGCGGATCAAAGTTGCCGGTTAGTCGACGTGTGTGGAAATGGCTCTTGAGCGTAGCGCTGCTCAGGCACCGCGGTTGGCCTGCCTATCATTCGAACCTTTGGCATGGCTCTTTCACTTCTTGAGCTACAACCCTCTTGATAGCCAGGCTTCATGTCCTACACTGATCTACCACCGCCTCCGAGTTCAGAGCACGCCAAGGCGTTATATGAGATCGGCACATTGAAGTGGGGATTCCAACAGGATGTGGAGAATGACGGTGCAGGACGTGCGTGATCACTTTACGCAGTGTGCACGAGATGTTGAGTTTTCATGTGTTCCCAGCCGTGGTCGTGAGTAGCCTCTCGTTTCATGCGCACATTACTTTTTGATGTTCGAAGCAGAGCATAGTAGATGGCGAGTGCTACGGAGATCCCAATATTGACCTGGATGCGGAGTACCTTGGTAACATTCGCTATCTCCCTCGCTAGGCATTTACTAAGTCATAGTGCAAATAGAGGATGAATCCCCATACCCTGAAGTTCGTTCCGCCGTCGCGAACACGGACGATCCCGACATGCCTGCGGGGACACTTCGTGCTTGGATGCTTGGGCTGCTGTGGGCCATTGTGATACCAGGCGTGAACCAATTCTACTTCTTTCGATTTCCCAATATCACCGTGGGGCCAGTGCGTTCTCTATCTGCTTATTGTCCTCCGGAGCTCAACAATACGTGCCGTCAGCTTGTCGCCCAACTTTTGACTTTTCCTCTCGGCCGCTTAGTCGCACGCCTCCTGCCACATGTACGGGTATTTGGACACTGCATTAACCCTGGCCCTTTTACTATTAAAGAACACGTCGTGGTAACCATCATGGCAGGTGTTGGCGCAGTCTCTGCGTATGCGGTGGGCCCTCTCGACATCGTTATCATTGAACCCGTGCGCTAACTACTCATTAGACCGACATCATCGCGGTTCAACGGTTTTACTATCATCAGTCCTACAATTTCGGATACCAGTTCATGGTAATCATGTCTACGCAGCTCATTGGGTTCTCTATTGGAGGTATCGCCAAGCGATTTTTGGTGTCTCCACCCTCAATGAGTGAGTGATCGCTGCGTGGTCTCAACCACAGCATTGATCCCTATTTTTCTAGTCTGGCCGTCGAACCTGGTTTACTGCGCACTCTTCAACACTTTGCATGCGCAATGGTATGTGGGATTTGGCAAGCGCGGTGGTCTTAGCCGAGAACGGTTCTTCTTTCTTGCATTTACTGCTGCCATACTTTGGTGTAAGTACCCCCCCCCCATTGATATATGAGATCATCTCGTTAATGCACGAGAAGACTTCGTGCCTGGGTATCTATTCACAGCTCTCTCATTCTTCTCGTGGGTATGCTGGATAAAGCCAAATAACGGTACGTGCTGTCCAGAATCCGCTGTGGCGAAGCTCATCGTAGTTGCAAGTGGTGATCAACCAACTGTTCGGTTATCAGAGCGGCCTCGGCATGTCCCTGGTCACCTTGGATTGGTCGCAAATCGCCTTCATCGGTTCTCCCCTGGCCACACCATGGTGGGCAGAAGGAAACGTCGCCTTTGGCTTCGTTTTCTTTTTCTGGCTCATTGTCCCATTGCTCTATTACACGAACGTTTGGGATTCGCAGTTTATGCCCGTTCTCTCACGAAGGACGTTTGACAACACCGGAGCACCCTACAACGTCACGCGCGTCTTGGAAGGGACCTCGTTTGACATCGACAAATATAGAGCATACAGCCCGCTCTTTCTGCCCGTGGCATTCGTCGTGTCCTACGCGCTCAGTTTTGCGAGCGTTACCGCCACGATAGTACATGTCTTCCTGTACTACCGCAAGCAAATTATGGTCCAAGCGCGCCGCTCCCTCGCGGAACAACCCGACATCCACGCACGACTCATGTCGCAGTATCCGCAGGTGCCCGACTGGTGGTATCTCTGCATCTTCGTGTCCATGTTCTTGTTTGGTGTCATCGCCATCGAGATATATCCTACGCAGATGCCTGTGTGGGCGTTCGTGCTCGCGTTGGCGGTTGCGTTTGTATACACGATCCCAATTGGCATCATCCAGGCGGTCACCAACCAGCAGATCGGGCTGAATGTGATTACTGAGCTGATCGTTGGGTACGTCCTTCCTGGCCAACCGCTTGCGATGATGTTGTTCAAGACTTGGGGATATAACGTGAGGGCATGTAATATTCTTTCAAACACCATGCTAATTCAACGCCCTCAGACAATGTCACAAGCACTCACATTCACCTCCGACATGAAGTTAGGACATTACATGAAGATACCGTGCGTAAAATCGCAAACGCATGTGTCACACTCGGCTCATCTTCTGTTCAGACCGCGCACAATGTTCTGGTGCCAGGTCGTGGCAACCGTGGTAGCCGGGATTGTCCAGCTCGCTGTGCAGTCCTGGATGTTCGAAAATATCCCGGACATGTGCGACTCGCTGCAGAAAGACCACTTCGTGTGTGCCAGCACCGAGGTCTTCTACACTGCAAGTGTCATCTGGGGCGTTGTCGGCCCTAAGATGCTCTTCTCTGCTGGCCGAATATACGGCTTCCTCCGGTTTTTCTTCCTTTTTGGAGCGGTCACACCGATAATACCGTACCTTGGGATGAAACGATGGCCCAACAGCTACTTCCGCTATGTAAAGTGAGTACTACCTTGTCACGTCCTCATTGATGCTGTTAATCTAACGAGACGTAGCATTCCGATCATAGTGAACGGTACTGGGTGGATACCACCGGCAAGCGCGCTGAATTACGTGCCATGGGCGATCTTAGGGTTCATCTCGCAGTACGTCGTACGCAGACGACATTTCGGATGGTGGTCGAAGTACAACTGTATGTCATTTCCTTCAATCAAACCGCCCTGCTCAGAGCTTGTCACAGACGTTTTATCTGCGGCTCTCGACACAGGGACAGCAATAGGGACCGTGATTGTTTTCTTCTGGTACGCTCTGTTGATCTGACGCTACCTCACGCGTGGGCTGATAAAAGCCATATAGCTTACAATACCCTGCTAACGGCACGATTGGCCAACACACTGTGCTCGCGTGGTGGGGAAACACTGTGTGGATGAACACCGCAGACTACAATATGACGTCCTTCAAAACGCTACAGTCGACAGGCCAAGCATACTTCGGGCACGTGTACTTACCTTTCCATCGAATTCTTGTTGCTGATTAGTCCCGCGCAGCCCCGACAAATGGTAGCATCCCGCTTTATTCCATCTGTTTTTGCGATGCTCTGGATCTAGCGTCTTGTACTCATAGTGTATGTATATACAGCTCGCTCATTTATCGCTAATTATTTCTCCGCCGGGGAGGGCACCGTGCTAGTTCGCTCGTCGGCTTCCAGGCTGCAGCGTCGATGTAGAGGGTCTTTGCTGAGGTGCAGAGCATTTGGGCATTCGTAGCGTAAAATTGTACCAATACAAGCGTTAATACTGTATGTAAAAAAGACCTCGACGCATACTAGTATGGTCCAATGGCGAGAAAAGGGCCCGAAAGCAATAACATGACCACAAGCACATCACAAGACTGTTGGTACACGAACATAATAGTTATGACGAGTGAGATTGAAGGATATCGGGTGTGGAGGTGTCCGCTGCACGAACGAGCACGAGATAGAAGTACAACGCACGGCCTGCGTCTGCGCACGTGACAAATATGAGTAAAGATTTCAGATGTGTACAAATCTACGCAGCCGATGATGAACCGGAGATTCGCTGATGGTGGTACATTGGGCACGACATATTTGCCGCAGGATTGCCGTCCTCTTCCGTTGCAGTCCGTTCTCTTTGTTATTCCTCGAAGTCGATTTTATGATGGGTAACCGGGGGTATCGGATAATGGACTCATTGTTCGTGTGCAGCGGGTCCGCCAAGGGACGCCATCCAGATACGAGTTTTATACAACCTATGATCACACGATCAATATGTGCAGCAGGAGGTAGGAGGGTAGAGGCAAAACGCACCTGAAGAGCTCGCGCACGAGCTCACGGAAGTCGATGCGCTTCTCGGCAATGAAGTAGAACGTGAGTTTACGACGATCCCTGATGGCACGCGATCAGCCACTGTAGCTGCTGGTACAAGGTAGGGGTGTTTACCACTGGTATTCCGCATCGACGACCTCCATGGGCAGCTTGCGCTGCTTAACTTTCGTGCGGCAGAGTTCAAGAGCCTTAGCTTCGTCCGCCACCTTCTGCGCCAAACCCTGCGTGTGCTCCGCCCTCGCCTTCTCATAAATCTGCTTCGGGTTGATCTCCTTCGCGCCCTGCCCAGTCGGACTCGTAGGCATCTGCCCCTGGACTTCGGCATAGCTGCTCATAGCCTTCTGCTGACGCTGGAACTCTTCCACCTCGGCCAGTGTAATCGTGTCATTGACGATCTTGCCCAGATCGCGTCCGCGATCAGCTTCGACAATGGCGAGATCCCCGACACGAATGTCGAGCGCGAGGTCCGTGCAGTAGAACAAATCTGTGCGGCCTGCCTTGAACTCGACAATGTACAGTGGCCAGCTGGTCGGTACCGCATGCAGGGGAACGCCCTTCCCGAGTTCTGTGATGCTTTTCGTCGCGTCCGACGCGCGACGTTGCATCGCGCCTCCGGCGTAACCACTCCTCAACTGGCCACCTGGAGTGATCGGTGTGGGCAATAAGCTCGCCTCAGGGATATGCTGAATGCCTTGCCCAGGTACGAACCGTGCCGTAAGCCCACGCCCGACGTTCTCTCGCGCCTGAGGCGGATACTCGCCCTCAAGCTGGTGACGGCTAGGACTGCCGCCGCTAAATGCACTATCACTCGGAGACCCTACTGCGCCACCACGGTAGCCGGTTGCGGTGCCACCAGGGATGTTCAGGTGCAGCGGCTGATACGGCGAGAGACGCTCGTAAGCAGGGCTGCGTGCGAGACCCGAGCCACTGGGCAGCGACGACGGTGCGGCGGTGCCGGCGAGATGAGGGGAACGGCCTGTTTCGGTGCCAAGGGATAGCATGCCGAGGTCGCTCGCAAGGTCGTCGTCGGTGAGAAGAAGCCCTCCTCCACTGCTAGCAGATGAGAAGCTGTATCCTGCGGAATGGCCATGTTGCATGGATTCGTCTGAGTCTAGCCCAGGCGCGTTGAAACCTACGACAGACGGCCGTGGGCGAGCGATGACGCTTACGCTGTGTCGGCGAGAGGTCGTACCGCTGCCGCCGCCACCATTCTCGTCAGCTCCACCGCGCGAAAGCCAGGGGTCCCGGTAAGGTGTGACATCATCGTTCATGATTTGCTGAAGATCGCGAACAAACGGGCTCATATTCGACTGGTCCGTGAAACTGCTGACGCCATGTGAATAACCGTTCGAGGGAGAGCGACCGAGCGCGCCCAAGCTGCCATAGCGGCTGCTGCCGGCGGGCTTGATGTTGTCGTAGCGCGATGTAGGGGGCGGAATCTGCAGCGGATTCGAGCCCGAGAAGGCGGGGTCGTTCCAAAGGGCTGCGCCGTTAAAGGCTGAACCAAGGGCACCGGGACGGGTGGTTGTCGCGACAGACTGGGAGCGGCTGCGCGTCATATCTGCGGCATAAGTACGGCCGCGGCCAGGGATGCCTGAGCCAATCGCGGCGGGAGGAGACGTGCCGAGGTAGCGGTCGTCGAAGGGGTCGTTCATGTCGGAGAGTGCTTCAGACTCATCGTCTTCGAAGGTGGACGCAAAGCGGGAATCGCGCATGGCAGAAGGAAAGGCAGAGCCAGCCCTGGTGGAGAATGAAGAGCTGCGGGTCGGAACAGAGGACGGTAGGCCCGGCTGGAGTGAGGAGTCAAAGTTCAGACCGGACGAGAATCGGGGCCAGACTCCAGGGCCTCCTGAGCTGGTGCGCATCGATTGAAGGGACGGCGATGCGAGGAAGGCCTGCGAGTTGGAGGTGCGCGGTGGCTGGCTGGCAGCACGCTCGCGGAGACTGAGGGTATTAGGCGTGTCTGCGCCGCTCGAAGACGAGAGGAAGCGGTTGGTGCGATCTGCATCGTCGTTCGAGGACTGCCTCGCGTGAGTAGACTGCATTATGCCAATCGAGGGCTTGCCGAGGTTGGAAAGGTGATTATAGTTTTGAACGGTCGCCAGGATGGAGAAGGACGGTCCAGGGGCTGGTACGCTGGTCTACGGCGATTGAGGGCTGTATGGTCGTGAAATCTGAAGAGGAGATGAGGAGGAGAAGAGAAAGGAGGTAGAGGGATGCGCACAATGAGACGTCTCTGACCGTCAGTCTTCGTGAGTCTAAGCCGTGAATGCAACTCTAGGGGGCGATGGGAGTACAAGTGCAGGAGATGCGTTCGAAAGCAGAGCGAGCGAGAGCTGGGAGGCGACGAGGATGTGGGAGAGGTGGGATTACGGTCGGCCTCTCTGAGGGGGAGATGATGGTTGAAGAGAAAGGAAGGCTAGGGCTCTGAATTGAAAGACTGGCTTTGCATGATGCTGTGAGCAGCTGACGGTGTCTGCCACCGGCTCTACTCACTCGTCCGCTACGGTCCAACAGGCGCCTCCCCCTTTTCATATAGGGTCGATCCACACGCCCAGATCCCAGAACACACACGCGACCACGACTCTCGCGCGGAACGAGCACAGCGCGCCCAGCTTTCAGTCCTCGACGCTGTCCTCGGCACCGAGCTCCTCGCCCCTCGGGCCTCAGGGGCTGCGTTCAAGTGATCCGCCCACCAGCCCCGACGGACCGACGACGGATGCCGGATTCGGCTCGATCGCAGTCCACGCTGGATAGACTTGCTGATAGTCTGTCTCGGCGGCATGAGGCAGCAGGACCAAACGCACACGACTGCAACGAGCTCGCTGCGTCACCACAGCTGAGATCGTCGTGCAAGATAATCAGGCGGACCATGTAAATTAACCACTATGCATCATTAATGAACTCGCTACTGTATCTCCTCCCACTTGCCAAACTCGTACGTGCTCTCCGGGCCTTGTCGCGCTGCCTCCTGCTTCCACGACTCCGAGGTGTTCGTCCATTTCTTTTCTCGTCGCGGTTTCCTGTCCTGCTCCTGCGACGTCTTTGGCCGCTTCAAACTCGAGCTCTCCCCTGCGATCAGCCGTTCAATCCGCCCGATAATTGCCCACACTTCGCCGCTGTTCAGCGCCGTCTCCTCCTCCCATAGATTACGCTCTCCAACCTCCCGGCGGACTCTCTCGGCCAGGCCTCGCGTCTGCGTATCCATCTCGATGCCGTTCACCTGCATCTCCTCCAGGGCGTCGCATACGCCCCGCACGTCACGGAAGCAGCGCCAGCGCGTCTCGATGAGCTCGTTATACGCAGGCGTCGTGCAGCCGAATACGTACGACGCAGTACTCAGGTGCCGTGCGTGGTCAAAGAGGGATAGGGCGAGATGCGGATCGCCGTACTTGTCACGGAACGTCCGCATGAGGTGCGCAATCACATACGGGTACGACAGCGCCTGCAGGGGCATTCCCTGTTGGCTTGAAGGCAACTCCGCCATGGCCTTGCGTGCCGCAGCCTCGTATCGCTGTGACTCGCCAAACACTTCGCGCATAGCCCAGTCGAGTAGCTGCTGGTCCGTGTCGCACAGATCCATCTCCTCCTTCTTCCGGTCGAGCTCCTGATCAGCGTCGCTCGTCCACTTGACGTTTCTGCTGTGCTGCCGGAGGCGGTCTGTGAGCGTGCTCAGAGTAGGGCTGTTGCCCACTCCTGCCATCGCCTCGGAAGTTCCAGCGGAAGGTCCCTTCATTTCGTTGTAGGTTTCGAAGATCATGTTGAACATCTCATCAAAAGCTGAGAGCTCGTGTCTGGTCATTTTGTGACGTTGTGCCTTGCGAGAACTTGTGCTGCTGGAGAGGATGCTTGCCGAGGACATATCAATGTCTTTGAAGACATGGTCCCATGCGGACTCGTCCGACTCAAAGATAGTCTTGTTTGAACTGCTGGTTGCGGCAGGGTTACCAGCTGTGGTTGAGTTCCAGCGGCATGTCCGAGTGGCTTGTCCTAGGAAGTATCAGGAAGCAGCTTCTAGAGGTAGGCAAAATGTACTCACTGCATGTACATGTTGCCAACCTTTGCAGCGATTTTCCCAGCGCCATCCTGTGCGTACTTCGGATAGAGTGTAAGCCGAGCGGACAGTGAGGAAGATGAGGGCCTGAAGGAAGATGCGGGCGTCTATGGCGGACGTTCTGTTCCTGATCACAACTACGTCTTCATCTCGAGTCCCTCTCACCGCCGACCAGCCATGGCTGAGTCCTCTGTGCTGGACGGAGCAGTGCGCGTCACCGCGACACCGTCACAAGCCTCATACTTTGCCGGCGACACTTTCACTGTCACCATTACTATCACCAACACTCGGAGGCCAGAGGCCCCGCTCGCTGCTCGCTCGACCTCGCAGTCTGCCACGATCTATGGCCACAAACGAGGAGCACACTCTGTCAGTTATGTGCCAATGGCGCGTCCGCCTACGTCGCCCGGTGTTCGCACTGCGCTTCCAACTGTGCCAGCACACACAGCCGGTGGCAACAAGCCTGTGGTCCGACGCGGACTCGTGGGCAGGTCACAAAGCGCGAATGGCCCCCCCAATCTAGAAGAACCGGAAGACCAAGCACGGCGGCGCGTAAACCTTACCAAGTCACTGTCCGTATCTCTAGGGACTCAGGGCTTCCAGTCGAATGGATCGGGAGACTGGAAGGGCAAGTCGCCTCTGCGCACACTGCAAACAAATTTACCCAGTGAGTACTAAGTGCCTTGTATGCCTACCATTGCTTGAGCTGCTGCAGCACCAAACTCGCCACGAAAATCTTCGCCCTTGGCTCGCTCCGCCTCCGTACCTGTAAACCACCCCCACGCCCGAAAGCAATCGGTATTAGACGGCCAGGTGCAAGTGCAACCGCTGAAGGATTCCGACAAGGTTCCCCCGGACCTATCTGCTATTAGCTCCACGTCGACATTATCTCTTGCGCTGGATACAATCACAGAGGGTTACTCGCCTGTTTCACCGGCAACTCCGGACGTAGTCTCTCCAGCGAACAGACACGCACTTCTGACATCATCTGCCTCTTTCCCTCCAACCAAGAAGGCCAATGGCGCTTCGGGCGGCATGACACTCACAAATGGGCATAGGCCCCCGCACCCCGGTATCGCGCCGCCCCCTCGTCCTAAAACCGCAGCAGTCGGCAGCTTTTCCGCACCTAATACTGAATTCATCTTGTACTCATATGCGCAACTTCTCGGCACTGTTACACTTTTCCCAGCGCAGGATGCCCCACTTTCGGCCGAGCAGCGGCATATGTGGTACATGCTCCGCCGTGAGCTGCAGGCAACCAAAGCGGTCGGCGGGGGCAACATGAACATTGTTCCAAACAGCCCCAAGGCCCTCGCACACGGCCGCAAACCACTTCCTGCGGTAAATGTGCGTCGTGCCTCCCAACATGCTCGTACTACCTCGCTTTCAACTGGATTACTCTCTTTGCTCTCTCCTTCATCGCCACCACCCATGTCTTCCCCGCTTCCTGGATCTTCTCGGCATTCTCGGAACTCTTCTGTCTTTTCTGGATTCTTCGGATCATCAAGCTCGAATGGGGATATCGACGTACCGGACTGTGCGTCCGTAGAAGAGGATGGTGATGCGGACGAGCCACTACCCACGTTCGATGTCCCACCAGCTATGCTCGCAATCGATCTCAGCCTCATGCCCGGGCAATCGCGTAACTGTACGTGGCGCACCCTGTGCACAACATCGTAGCTAACGAAGAGTAGATGTATATACCTTTCCCCTACCACGAAATCTACCACCGACGTACCGCGGGCGGACGTTGCGCTTCCAATACGAGTTTGTGCTAGGCATCTGCCGCTCAACGAACAGTAGAATTATGCGAGTGCCTGTGCGTATATACAATTATGTATCAGGTATGTCCAGTGGTGTATGTATGGGTGTCCGGAACTAAGGCAGTCGCAGTAACTAATGCTCCGTCGCCCTACGACCTGCGATGGCCCGTCGTATCTCGACTACAGCGGCAGGCGTACAAGGCGACTGTGACCGACGTGCAGGAGCCTTTGCGCATTGCAGCACAGCGCCCCGCGAACGGTACGTCATAGCTTGGCGTGCATTAAGGGGGCAGGTACTGATCGTAGGAACAACGAACAGCGCCAAACCAAGAGGACAGCGATCTGGGACCTTACGCACTGGCCCTCTTGGCAACGCAAGATTCCATGGCATCGCACCTACCAAGAAGAAGCAACATAGGTCGATTTCCCTTCGCCAACGGAGTGGACGACGAGGACCAGGAACCAGGATGCCGCGAATCGATCGAGATCTTGACTAGGAACCCCAAGCGACGTGCGTATGCCTGAGATAGCTTTCTAGCTACACTACTAACTCGCTGCAAGTGTCTTTCGATGTACACAAGGATAACGTCAAGGTCGCGGTGCTCACCTTCACCAAATCGGCGTATAGACTTGGGGAGAGCGTGCTCGGCGTTGTGAACCTTAACGCCCGGGCAGGGCATGCACGAGTGCTCAAGGTACGCGACGCTAATATCGTCCTCCGTGGTTGTGCTGATTGAACGCCGCTCGTGCAGCTCTCCGCGTTCCTCGAGTCTCACGAGACCCTCCCGGGCTGTCTCTCTTCGGAAACACCGAGTGCCGCCGCCCAGACACGGCGCGTCCACTCCGAGTCGCACTCCTCCTTCGTCGGGAGCACGCTCCGCACGGCCTTCGCGCTCGACATCCCTCCGGACGCGAGCCCCGCCTTCCAGGTCATCGTCTCCACCCCGGGCGCGTCGTCGCCGACGCCGGGCGGGCTTACGTGGAAGGTGCGCTTATGCCTGCTCGTCGCGATTGCGGGACCCGAAGCGCGGGCGGGCGAGGACGGCGTGCGGCTGAAACACCTCGTGCGCGACGGCCCGCGGGGCGAGTGGGGCACGGCGTGGCATGCGCCGGGGAGCATGGCGCCGCACGAGCGTCCGGGCGTGCTGCCCTCGCCCTCAGCCCCGCAGAAGAGCCAGAGCTGGGCGAGCTTTTTCAGCAGTACGCTGCTGGGGTCAAGCGAGCCGAGCATGAACTTCCACGACGGGGACGAGGGGAGCGAGGTAGGCAGCGAGGACGGCGATGCGCTTGCTGAGAGCGAGTGGCGGGAGGTGAGGGCGGAGATGGTAGAGTGTGAGGTGCCGATTCGTGTCTGGCCAGGGAACACGGCGTTTAAGGCGGCAGACGTTGTGTTTGAGGTATAGAGTACCTGGATGTTGAATCGTGACTCTCAGATTGCATATCGAAGCCATCGGTTATGCACCATGTGTAACGAATGTCTACCCCTGAGATAAGACAAACACATCTTGTGGGTGTGACCCAGAGAGCACAATGTGATTGGTAATGCGATGCGACTAGTCTTACATGGGTCATGACGTAGACGAGATAGTACAATGAGAATTTCCTTAGGTTCGGTTGCGCTTCCTCGACTTTGAGGCATCGCCCTGCGAACTACTTCTGAGCGTGAATCAGCGCCACCCGTCTGCAGCCGATGGCACACGTACCTCCTCGTCTTGCCCTTCCCGTTCTCATCGTCCACGTCCATCTCGTCGCCCCCCTTTCGCTCGCGTTCCTTCGACTCACGCTCCTCGGCTGCGAGGCGCTCCTGTTCCTTACGGCGTTCTATGAGGGCGAGGCCGGCGGCGGTGGGCCCGCTCTTGAGGGTGTTCACGGGGCGGTTGGCGAGCTTGACCTCCTTCTGCTTCTCCTGTACCTCACCGAGCGCAGTCTGGTACGTCTTGTCGTACGTCTCCTTGGCGGTCTTGTCTTCTGCGGTCTGCTTCGAGAGCTTCGCGAGCTTGTCGTCGAGCGTCGCGAGTACGGCGGACGTCGTCGATGCCCTGCAGCATATCAGCGTGAGTAACAGTGGCAGAATGGGTGGGCGCACCAGTGCTGCAGGGCGGCCAGCAGACTCTCGACCTTGCCTGGCTCGAGGTCGCGGCCCATGGTGTACTCGACCTCGAACTGCTGCTCTTTCTGGTCAAGCTTGCCTCGGATGACGTCTTGGTAGATGGCATCGATGATAAGGTCCTCGAGCTCGCGAATGCTGGATACCTTGAGCACGCTCAGGAGATGGTCGTATGGCAGGATCTAGGCGATGTTAGGAGTGCGCATCTGGAGAATAGGCGTTGGGGCGTACGCGGCGGTCCGTGGCGAGTGATACGAGGGTTAGATGCTTAAGCTTTGTGATCTGAGCATCATTGAGAGCCGGCAATGAATCCTTGTGCTCTAAAGAATACTTCAGGGCGGTCCAAGGACGAGCTTCGGGGCGACACTAACGGAGGTAGTCTGAAAATGTCTTGTACGAGAAGAGCTGGAGCAGCGAGAAGTATGGCGCGTGTTGTTCGCTATTAGCGAGCTGTGCATGTCCCTGTCAGCATTGCGGATGATGTTCCATGATACAAAACCGTCGCACCTCCTGGATGTTCGGCTGATCTAGCAGCTCTGCAAAGACGAAGACGCCTGGGGCAGACGTCGCATCCTGGATAAGCTTTGCCGCTGCTGCGCCCTTGGCCGACTTGGACATGAGCAGAACCGGCTCGAGCTTGGCGATGAAATTGGCTCCGAGGTCCATTTTGAACTAGGTGGTCGTGGGCAGTATACGGGAGATGAGAACAAGTGCACACACGCTCATACGCAGGCTTGTGCAGCGCCGCGGATTGCCGGCCGAGCTGGCGGGGTGGCGTTGTTTGTCCCTATTAAATACCCAAGCTGATGGCTGCCTAATCTGGACACAGACGTTAGTTGTCTTGCCACTGCGAGGCTAGCCTGTGCGTCGACAAATCCACTTTGCAACCAGAGATGGCTGCGAATTAGATTTACCGACGTCATTAAGACCATAAAGGTGACGGATACAACGTCAAAGTGACGATGCCAGCCTCTACAGCTCTTTCTCTAAGGGCAATAAAGAAGGTATTCCGCGGTTTGAGTTTCGACCGACCTTCGGTGTCCTCTATATAAACGGCTGGCTGAGCACGGACCAATGGTTTCTCGCCTTGACTCCTTACCATCACCATCTCCTCTTGTCTCTCTCCCTCCTCCCTTGCCGACCCCGTCTGCTGGACTGGCGGGTGCTCAAAACGTATCAGAATGCAACCCAAGACAAATCGAAAACGCGCGCAGTGTCAAACCAGGGTCCAAGGATTCAAGACCACAGGCGACTTTGGGGGCCCAGAGGATGCTTTCAGGAGTCTCTGGGGCGAGAGGAATGTTCTTGGCTCTGGTAACATATTTCTGTTCGCCAGCTGTCTTTGCTCGGTTCTCCTGTACCGGATTCTCCTGCGGCTGACACCTCTCCGTTTCGAGTTACCAGAGTCGCCCCTACTCCGATACTCTCGCGAGGATCCAAGATGCGCAGAAGGCTTGCAGCGTCGGAAAGCTGTACTCGAGGTTTGGCCAGCCGATGACAGTCAGCTTTCGACGAGGGTGAAGTAAATTTCTCCTCTACTTCTCTCTCTGTTCTCGCCAGCTGATTCCGCGCAGTACGCTGTGCTCAAATCCTCGGTGCTTGTACGGTCGCTTGGAAGC